GTATGCAGGAGGACTTAGAGGAAATGAGACGTGAAGAAGAAGAAATGAAGCGTCGAAAGGCTAAGAAGCTGAAGAAGCGTTAGCTGCTGCTTTTATTAGTTTTGTGAAATTCTGGAGACACTCTGCTGCCAGGAGGTCCTGCCTTCAGAATGAAGAAGCCCCTTTATGATTTTAATTTATACTTGGGTACTCAAGGAGAAGGAATGCATACTGTTATTTGCAGGCTGTCATTGGAGCATAAAGTATTTTCAGATACTTTCCAGGGTTAAACCTAATGCAGATGATAGAATGCCCAGTGAGCGTGCTTATGAAGTTAACTGTTCACAGGTGCCCGCCTTGATCCTGATGAGCTATGCACTCTAACGGGGGCCGTTCACTGTCAGCCAATCTTACATTGTTCCTTTGCTATTTTGAAAAGGAAAAAAAAAAAAAAAAAAAAAAGGATTGCCTCTTCATGTTCTGCTGATGTGTGAGTAGAGCACTGCCCAGCTCCCAATCAAACTTTGTCTTTTAATGAGGAACCTGGCCCTTCCATGAATGTTGCCAGCAATAAAGTGACCTGTCCTAATGTATATGTTTGGATTGAGAACTTGAAAATGTAGAGTAGGCTCTATAATTATCGTATGGATGTCATCTCTGTGACTTTGAAGTAAAAAGTAGAATAAATTATATCGTATTTTACATTATTCATGGATTGGATGCCGAGCATTCTTATTCACTAATTTAGGTGGTAAGGCAATTAACAAATTTTTTTTTCCAGTTAAAATACAAGTTATGCCATTTAGTTTAAAAATAATCTGTTTCCAGGTTTTCCTTTCAAATTTACTGTTACGTTGGCTTTAGCGTAAAATAGACAAGGTCACTGTGCTGATTGATTTTTATCTAAGAAAAGTCATTTTTATACTGAAGAAAAATGCTTATTTTATTCAAACATTAGATTTGGAAGAGTAATAGTTTAAAAAATAAGGAAGTGACATGTGAGACTCCCCTCCTCCCTCTCCATAAAGATATTTTGGAAAAAGGTGCCCCTGTACCTCTTGATGTTAACGACCGCATTTTATCTTAAATTCTTTAGCAATTAATGCCAAAAGCCAAAAACTAAATTCACGTGTATTGAGAGCACCACCTTCTCTTTTTGCCCATATTGCACTTTTATTTCAAACTATGCACTGTGAAGAGATTTTTTTCCCAGGTAGAAAAGGACGTTCCCTGCTACTGGTGCTTTACCGGGCTGTGGAACTTTCTTCATTCTCACTTTTTTCCAAGTCCTATTTTTACACTTGAGATCTCTTAAGCCTCAAACCCAGGCAATTCCAATCAGGCTGACCTAGGTTCTGGCTGGAGAGAAGCCAAGTCTCAAGGAAAAGTCAGCAACAGAAAATGAGACATGATGACGCTAGAGAGCTTTTGTCCTTAATTCTAAATATGGAGGGTTGGGGACAGTGGGACATAAGCTTGAAGAACAGTTCCAAAAGTTGTTTTGGTGTATTCCTTTTTATCCATAAAGCTTTCTTTATTCTCCAAGTTTGGGTGGTATACATTACTGTTGTTACCTCCCTTAATGGGACAACCATTTGACCTAGTCCCTTAAGACTCTGACTCATTTCGAATTGAGTTTCACATTTCGAAAGTGCAAGCATTTAACTTTGAAGCTGGATCCTCTGCAAGAGGTCTTCATCACCAGGAGTAACACTCTAATGATCTACATAGAATTGTCACACTGGCAGAAAATCCTGTTGACTGCCTCTCACCCATCTCAAAATATCTTCAGTGAAATTGATTTAAGGGTAGTGTGGTGTTCCACGTAATAAAACAGGTTTGGAACATTATTTCCTTTGCTGTCACTTTTGTGCTTCCTCCCGCCCCACCCCTACAAAAGTTGTTTTCTGGGCTATATTTTTTCAGTATCTAGACTCTTTGAAAATCTATTACAATCAAGTGCTTATCATAGCTGAAAGATTTCTGGTGGCTTAACGTTTACTAGCACTTTACTCGACGTGCAGTTATTTGTACAGAAAGGCACCACTGTGCTAGATAAAAGTTCTAGAACTTCATAGGAAGAGTCAGGTCGTGTCCTTAGGCATCTACCACTTTTGAGTGCATTTCTTCTACAGATGTTGATTATATTATTCCTCGGCATCAACATTATAAAAGGGCACTTCTGTAGCTCATTTAAAAAGAAAGTCCTGAGAAAGTCTTTTAAATTAATCTTGGCCTTGTTTCCAAATCCTGTCTTCCGTTTTGTTCTGCAATTCCTGACGGCTCTTACAAAAAGCTCACAAACCTTTGAAGAAACTGGAATAAGCTGTTATTTTATAAAGGTTTACAAATTAAGTGCTTGGTTTTTAATGTATCCTCTACTGTTTTGATTTTCAGATTTTATTAATTCAATATCTGAAGATGTGCCTTTTATTGGGTAATGTTAATTCACGAATGTAGTAATGTTATTTCACGATTGTAATGTTACATGATCATGGGTGTGGCATTCTCTAACAGATGATGTGAAAAGAAAGTAGTTTTCATAAAACTCATATGGCTCTGATTGCACAGTCCCACTTGCTTTTGATATTGCTATGTCAAAGCAAGGGGCACTCTTCTTTTAAGGCTACTTTCAAAAACTTGTCTTTGTATTTTCTCTAAACTATAAATGCAATTACGTCCATTTGGAGGCCAGGGTACCACATGTCACAGACAGCCTTACATGTGTGCCATGAGAAGGTTCAAAGACTGTTAACAAAAAAGAAAGTCTATGGGAACTCGAAATATCATTTTTTTAATGTTACCCCAAGATTTTCTCCAAGAAATTACCATTTTTGTATTTTGTAACTTAAAAGCAGCTATTAGTACATTTCTGAGATATAGCAGGAGACCAAAACATGTTTGGAAAGAGAATAAATATATGAAGAGAAACTGGTTGGTTTATTTTCAATGTGCTGAATATATTAGACTACTATTTATTTTGTGAGTGGATGTGACAAAATAAATATTCAGGTGTTTAGTGTATGATTAAGAGTGGGATATAGATTTCTTTGAAGTTATTAAATCCATCATGTCTTTTACATAATGGACAAATCAAGTTTAAAAAAAAGAAAACATTTACATAGTTTAGCTTGTTTTCTGGTGCTGTTGACCTGCAAGAGAATCTACTTTTGCATATACAGGTGAAAGTTTTGCAATTTATGTATAAAAAGAAATTGTAGGCATTAAAAATATTTTATTGATATTTTCACTGGTTTGCATTTATTTACCAAAACTCAGATATTCCTTCTTTCATCACCCTGAACATTTTTCCAGCTAGAAACCCCAGTAGACTCATCAGACTTGACATGGGGTGTGCTTCCTTACACACACACACACACACACACACACACACTCACAGACACATACACACACATACCTGTTCATTCCCTCTGACGCATTGACCTCTGCTCAACCCCCACAACTGACCCATCTCCCCGCACCCCACCAGCTTGAGAGAGCTACTCTGAAGGCCGGAGAACTGTTTGGAGGTATATTCAGGGAACCAGAGGGAAGAACTGGGTGTATAGTTCCTCTTGTCAAGAAAACGAGCACAGGTTCTGATCCCCTGTAATAAAAGAGCTTGAAACAACTGACAAGATGAGTCCTTTGGGATATTCAGGAGGCAAGTTGGTATAGCCATGGAGCCAGAAAATGTAGGCACTTAGCTCAATGGGATGTGTTGAGTCTAGGTCATATAAGAAGCCTTATAAGAGATAGTATCCTGGATTCAGGATTCCAGTGTTGCTAATGGATTTTGAATTCACTTTTCTTTCCATAAAAAAGGCAATTCATTCAGTGCAAAGGGCCACTTAAAAATAGTTTAGCAAATGTGTGCTAAATAGTCCTCAACAAAATGTTATCTACATAACCAAAAAGATCTACTTTGGTGGTAAGGATGCACTTCTGAATGATGGAACTATCAGTCATCCCCAAGTAGCCACAGAATGGGAAAAATTCCATACAGTTTATTTTAGAAGTACTTGTTCTTGTTGGGTTCTTCCCCCTCCCTCCCCAACCCCGTTAAGGTCAGAAAATTCCAAACCACCCCTAGAGAGGGCTTATGAGGAATATCCTAGGGCTGAAACACCTAGATTAATTGCATGGGTCTTAAGTTTCCATACTTGGTCTCAAACTCAAACTGCATCATACTGAGGACTGAGCACTTAGCTTTTGTTTCTATGCATGCTGCCCTGTATTAGCAGTGGTTACTGCTAAAAGAATCATCAGGTACCTTCTTGGCTATTCAAATGAAGGGGCACTTGAGCCAAGAGATAGCCAAGATCTTGGCTATTCCAGTCTCTTGTTTGGCTCTTTTCCTTGGCACATAAAAGCATGCCAAGGAGAAGGCCTGGATCTTGATCTTGACTCCAACCCAGAGCTGTGCAGCTGGTAAGATACTTGAGTCTCTCAACTTCATTTGTAACATTTTGTTCAATGAGGCTAGTGCCCAGCTCAGAAGCTTATAAGAATTAAAGTAATGTTTAATTTAGTATCTAGCACCTCATATTAAAATGACATCCCTTCCCCCACACAGTGTAAGCCTTCGGTTCTTGATAACAGCTGTGAAAAGGCCACAGAAGGTTGTTGGTAACAGCTGAGAAAAGGCCACAGAAGGTTGTTGGTAACAGCTGTGAAAAGGCCACAGAGGAGTATCCCCAAAAGATAGGCTTAAAGTTGCTGCAATCTCTAGCCTTTTCTGAACGTTTTTTCGACCCTGGACCCTGGATGCAGGAGGAAGACTACACCCGGGAACTAGGTCAAAGGAGCTTTAGAGAATTTCTATCCCTAAGGATTCAGAATAGGGGGCAAATTGAACTAGGTATTTTAGTCTTAATGTCAGTCTTAGAGACTGAAACAGAGGCACCCAATCACGTTCGTCTAACCCAACTACCCTCCCCCATCTCCCTGTTTTGAGCTAACAGAATATCAGCTCTTCATCTTAAAAAGTACAGTAACTTTTTACGTAAAATGTGACAAAATAATGTGCAATTACTTTATGCGAAACCAACAACAGGAACTCTACAGCAGGCCAGGTGAGCTTCAGAGCTGCATGACTTCACCAGGATCATCTTTGCTTATTTCCACCGGGGTCTGGGGGGACAAAAGTATGTCAGGTGGGCCTTCTCTAGTGTTTGCCAGAGTGTGAGGCTGAGGTAATTGCCTTCCTTGCCAAAGACAGGCAGAAGTGGTTCTGTCCAATTCTGTCTCTTAATGTCTCTGACCTCAACTGCCAGGGGGGCTTAGCCATGTGGGAGGGGACAAGAGGCAGAGAAAGGACACATATCCAAGGTCTAACAGGAAGAGAGAAGATTTCTAGCACCAGAACCATTTTATAGACCACCCTCTACTTGATGAAGGAGAGTTAAGGGTGGGTTGCTGGTCTGGGCAGATTTAAGAAATGGGACTGAAGACCCCAGCACTGAAAATGGCCCCTGAGCACAAGACTAGGTCACCCATGTCAGACAGTATTGCCTGAGTCTTTACCTCTCTACCTCCAGGTTATATAAAACTGAAGAATGTAAGAGTAAAGACTCTTAGGAAAACATGTATAAAAGAAAGACGTGAAAGAGGGAACTCTCGGCGAGCAACAATAGAGGCAGGTAAGCTACCACCACTTTCTTAATCAAGAAAAGACGATCTGTTTCTAAAGCTGGATTTTGATGCTCAGCTCATGGATCTAGGGGAATAAATTTCAAAGGAGGAATAGAGAACAAAGTTGAAAGCACACTTACCCCTCCTGGGGGATACTTATATCCTTTCCACATGGTTCCTGCAATGAGAAGCAACCATAAAACAACAATCATTGTGGGGCTTCTTGCTCACTGGTGGGATGTGCTGGGGAAAACAGGTGGTTCTGAAAGGTGTGGCGCTCTATTCCTTGAGTCCTGGGAGCTGGGCTGTCTTCATTCCAGACCGGATGGCAGATCGCCCAGCATGATAGCTCCTGGCTGAGGGGCTTCGTGGTCTAGTGTGAACTGAAATGGCTGGCCATGGCCATTTTAGGGGGCAGAGCTCAGACACCAATTGTGACATCAGCTCCTGTCACCTTGGAGGGACCCGTCAGAGTGAGTAACTATGGGACAACTGGCCAGGGTGCCTGGTGTGTTGGGGCCAAAGAACCCTTAAAAGAAGGGCCCTGTTCTCTGGTGACTCTACACGGTCAGGATCTAGCTGGCATCAGAACTTTATTAACTCATCACCTGTCAAAATATTAACTGTTGCTTTCATGCAATCAGATGCAAAAAGCAGTGCCATGCAAACAAAACAAAACAAAAAATACCCTGGATTGATTGGGAGGATTGGCTAGGTATGCTACGAGCAATTACTTTATAGACTATCGTTAGGCTATTCGCAAAAAAACAAACAAATGAACATCTCACATTTCGCAAAATGTCACAATTAAACCCTCATCATGTAGGGTTCCCTTCCCTGGAAAGGGAAGAGAGGGCATTAGGCTGTCCTGCTCATTTCAAAGCTGGAGAACCTGAGGCACAGAACATTTCCAGTGGCTTGGTCAGGATCAGGGTGGCAGTGCCTCAGCTAAGCAAGTGCCCAGGGCCTCCATCTACGTCCCCACCCCAACAATGATCTGACCGAGCTGGGTCAACACTTGCATGGAAATTCTGGGGCCGATGGAAAAAAACAAACAAACAAACAAACAAACAAACCCTCATGCCCTGCTCTCAGTGTACCTGGGGTTAGGACTTGATACCACTGCTTTCCAGAGTAGCTTCCCAGAAAATCTGCTCCTGTTATCAGTTCATTACTAAGACTCTCAGAGTAAAGTTTCTTTAACAGTGGGAACACCTTTGAAAAACCAGATCTGAGTGAAAGGGAGTGGGAGGGAAGAAAGCCAGGAGACGGTTGTGAAAAGGATACTGCTATTCCTGTCTCCTAAAGGCAGGTTGGTCTAGTGGAACGAGTGCAAGAGGCTGTTAAGTCCAGAGAACTATGCTCGCATCCCAGCTTCTCAAAGGAATTGATTTGTATGGCCTTGGGTAAATAGTTGAGGTTACTGTCACCACTAAATCTTTGTGGACCCGTTCATTATTTTGCTTAGTTGTTAAGTTGGCATTTAGTAAATGCTTTGCATCAAATGCTTTACGTGAATTCCCAGATGCAAGCCTCACAAAAACAGTAAGATACAGAGATATCTCCCTTATACAGATGAAGAAACTGAGGTTTAGAGAGATTAAACTTTCCCAAGGTCACGTAGCTAGTGAGTTGCAAAGTTAGAACTTGAACCTGTCTTGGGATCTGCCAAAAGGGGCGCTAAAAAAGCTGGTCCGACTTACTACAGAGTTTGTGAGAAAATAAGTTAATAGACAGGAATAGTCTTTGGAAAGAATACCAGTAAGATGTGCTTAACAAATCTTTGAGCCTTGGCCTGCTGTCCAAAGCAGTGCTCACTGAATTCTCTTTCCCCACCACATATCTCAACCCACTTCCCTTTCTACAGTTTATTGTTTCCCAGGGGAATATAAACTTCCTACTGAGATTTCAAGAGGTTGCCATGTTCTCTTCTCTGGAAAGAGAGGAATTGAGTCCAGCAGACCTGACCACTCACTCATAGTTGTGGTTCTTCATCCAAAGCCAGGCTCCTCAGTCGTGTCTTGCTCTCCTGAACAGGCCACTTCTCTTTCCACTTCAGAGTTGGAGGCTGAGTCAGAAAGAAATTTAAAGGCAGAAGCGGTTCTACTTGTTGGCCTAGCAGGTAATCGCCTCTGTCTGTGACTGTGACTGTTGGAGGTCCCACCAATGCCCACCTTCCCTTTCTAGCCGGCGACCATTGATCTACTTTGCCTGAAATCCACTTTCTCCAGCAAACCCCTTATAAATTTAAAATAAGTAATGGTATGTACCCAAGGGGTGGGTGGAACTTAAAGATAATCCCAGTGAGTTGAGAAGTAGCCTGGGAAGCCAACTTTGTTCCCACTGCACCCTGACCTCTAATTAGTGATGAGGCCTCAACTGTCTCTCCCATTTGGTCAGAAACCCTGGCTGGGAGGTGGAGTCAGAGCCAGGACTGACTACTACCAGGGATTCACAGGCAGGGTCATTACTTACCATGAACTCTGGAAACGTGCCCATGTAACATGCAAGTCCAACAAAAAGCATCCAGCCAAGCACAATCATGATAACAAGTAAAACAATGTCTAAGACACAATTGCACAGTGAAAGACTATTCACCAAGATCTTGGCAAGGGAGTGCGCTCATGAAACCCTCAGTTGGCAGAGGTCTTGCATGGCAGTTCCAGTCCTTGGCTCCAAAGGATCCGCAACGCCCTAATGGAGAAGATGAAGTCTAGTAGGGCATTGTGACATCATTGGTCACATGGCCCAGACTCATAACATGTCAGAGATATTGCCCCCAGACCAGTGGTTGAGTAGCAAACTAAACTTTTTGTATGTATTCCCTCACAGCAACAACAGGAAATAGGTATTATTACCAAGTCCATTTTACTAACCAGAAGACTGAAGTGTAGAGAGCCTAAGTGACTGGCACTAGGTCACACAGCTGATGCTCCATGTGAAAGCCAGGACTCAGGGCCCAGCTATCTGTTAGGAAGCTGGGCTCCTTAGACTACAGACAGGGATTCGGCAGGGTGTGTTCCTAGGTCTATGACAGCTGTGAAGGGAATAAACTGAATTCTAGGGAAGTGAGACTTCTCTTCTTTCTGTCCCTGCAAAGCCCTCATCATCTCAAGGGCTCTGTCACCAGCATTTTATACCATTCTTCAGTACCTCTGGTCAATAACTCTCTGCTGGTTCTCTTCTCTTGGCCTTCAAGAAGCCACAAGTATCTTTGTCCTTCCCTCACAAAAACCTGCAACCGATGCTGTGGTTCCTTCCTAACCTGTTTTTTTAATTTCCCTTTATGGCCAAACTTTTTAAACAATGGCCCACACTCAGAGCCTTTCTTCCCAATCTCCAACTTTCCTCCATATATCACATTATGACTTCTGGCCCGCTCACCACTACTTAGATGCTCTCAGTAGTTACAAAAGATCTTTTTGTCCCAGTCTAATGACCTCACCTTCATCCCTTTGACCTCCCTGTACTGTCACAATGGACCCTTCTCTCCACCAGAATTCTTCCTACAGACACACCTCTCTATTTATTATTTTTGATATCCTCTTTATTCTCAATACTTTTTTAAAATATGAAAATAATAGGTGCTCATTGTAAAACATGGAACCACCCAAAAGACATACAAGAAAAATTTAACAACCTCCCCGATTTCCCCCCTCAATTCCCATCCCCATCATGTAACCAAGCCTGGTGTGCACCCTTCTGGCAAAGAATCTTCCATCAGCTTGCAAACATCAGTACACACGTAGAGGGATATAGAGGGGTTTGGTTCAGCGTTGCTTTATCAAAGGTGATCAAACTATCTATGCTACCGCGCAACTTGCTTTTCTCCTGTTCACAATAATACATCATGGACAGGCTCTTGAGTCAATGGATAAAAACCAAAAAAATCCAAACACATCCTTTTTTTTAAATAATAAGCTTTATTGAGGTATAAATCACATATGATAACATGCATTCCTTTCTAGTGTGTAGTTGATGAGTTTTGAAAAATGTGTCAATCTTGTAACTACCACCACAATCAAGAGAGAATAAATTTCAATCATCTCCACAAGTTCCCTGTACCCCTTTGCAATCAGTCTCCTTCCCCTGACCTCCCTGCCCCCTGGAAACCAATGATCTGCTTTTGCATTTTCCAGAACTTCATGTAAAGAGAATTATAAGCTCATTCACTGGCTTCTTTCACTGAACATAATGCTCTGGAGCTTCATCCATGTTGTACAGTAGTTTGTCCTGTTTTACTGAATGAACGTATGTTCCATTACCTGGACATAGCAATTCATCAATTTACCTGTCAAAGAATATTTGGGTTGCTTCCAGTTTGGGGTTATTATGCATAGAGATGTTATAAATACTTGCAAAGTTTTTTCTGTGTGAACATAAGCGTCCCTAGGGTAAATACTCAGGGGGGGGGTATTTGAATCACATGGTAAGTGCCTGTTAAAAAGCCTTTATCACCAGTTGTCAGCAATTTCACTTTGATGTGACTATGTAATTTTCCGCAAGTTTCTTCTACCTGGGGTTCGATGAGCTTCTTGGAACTGTGGGTTTAATGGTCTTCATCAAATTGGAAAAATATTCGGCTAATACTTCTTCAAATACTTTTTCTGCCTCCCTTCCTCCATGACCTCCCGTACACGTCTAGGAGACCAGTAACCAGGACAAACATGTCCCACGGCTTGCTGCTACTCTGTTCGTTTTTGAGTCTTTGTTTCTCCTTGTGTTTCATTTTGGATAGTTTCCATTGCTGTCTTTTTCAAGTTCACTCGTTTTTCCCCTATAGTGTCTTAATCTTCTGTGAATCCCATATGATGCATTTTTCACCTGAGGTTGTAATTTTCATCTCCTCAAGTTCAATTTGTGTGTTTTTAAAAGTTCTTTCGTTGGGGCACCCGGGTGCCTCAGTCGGTTGAGCATCCAGCTTCGGCTCAGGTCATGATCTTGCGGTTTGTGGGTTTGAGCCCCACGTTGGGCTCTGTGTTGACAGCTCAGCCTGGAGCCTGCTTCAGATTCTGTGTGTGTGTGTGTGTCTCTCGCTGCCTCTCTCCTTCTCGTGCTCTGCCTCTGTCTCTCAAAAATAAACAAATGTTAAAACAATTTTTTTAATAAAATAAAAGTTCTTCCATTTTTCTCCACATCATGCTCACGTTTCCCTTTGCATCCTTGAGCATTTTTATAAGATTCATAATAAACATTTTAGGGACTCCATGTGCAAATCTATCATCTCTGTCATTTCTGGGGTTGTTTCGATGGTTGGTTTTTCTCCTTTCGTTATGGATGATACTTTCCTGCTTCTTTGAATGCCTGGCAACTTTTGGTTGCATGTTCAACATGGTGAATTTTACAGGGCTATGTGCTGGACTTCGTTATATTCCTTTCAGTAGTGTGGGACTTTCTTCTGGGATGCTTGGGATCAGTTTGATTCTTCTGGGGCTTGTGTTAAGCTTCGTTATGGTGGACAAAAGGCAGCTTTTGCTCTGGGGGTAATTATCCCCACGAATGAGCTACCGCCCCTCTAATGCCCACTGAGCGTTCTCTGATGCTGTGGAATTTTCCACAACTCCTAGCACCTCTGGGAGCTCCCAGAAGTGCTTGGCCTGCTGTTTCTGGGCCGTTCTTATCCTGCCTCATGGAGTTTGAGCCCATCTACGCACCAACTCAGCCAAAGACTCACAAGGACCCCTACGGAGATCTCCAGAGTTCTCTCCCTGTGGAACTCCTTCTCAGGACTCCATCCTGCAAATTCCTGGCACTCTGGCCTCCTGTGTACCCTGCTGTCTTTCTTTACAACTCAGCAAGACTAGTCTCGGTTCAGGTGACCCCACCATGCTGCAGTCTGAAAACTGCTTCCAGGCAGTAGGCGGGGGCAATTTTAAGGCCCATCTCCTTTATTTCTTGTCTTTCAAAGTTCACATGCTGCTGCTTCTTATACAAGATCTGAAAACAATTGTTTCATAGGTTTTGTGCAGTTTTCTACTTGTTTGTGGAGAGAAGACAACTCCCGTAGCAGTTGGTCCTTTCTAGGCTGAGGCAGAAATCTAACTTATCCTTTTTTAATTCTTACCTAATACTCCACACTTATTTCCTCTTTCTCCTAACGATGAATAGATCAGTCAAGAGACAGAAACTACACAGCAATTTCCACAGAGAAAGCTTAATAGAGAGAATTATTAACTAAGGAAAAGGTAGAAAGCTCCCCATAATACAGAAATAGTGTATCTAAGGAGCAGCCACCACGTCTAGGGCTGAGGCAAAGCACCCAAGAAAGAAACAAACTTGGAAGAGTCCCTCACCTCCAGGGCGGAGATCCAAAACTTGTTGAGTATGTGGTGGCCAGGACTAACTGGGTGGTAGAGACATCCAGTCAACTGCAGGCCAGACCTAACAATTAGAGTACAACCCTAGATGCTGGTGGAATTTGCCGGGAGTCTCCAGAGGGGGTTCTGGGAGGTTTGCGGATCCCTGCTGAGAATCTGGCCTCTGGGTCTGCCAGGAGAATACACCAGGAAGCCACCCTGTGGGGTGCTGGTGGTGGACCTCAATGGCAAACTGTTTTAGTGGCAGGGGTACCAGTGAAACTCAACGGAAAACAGCCCACAGAGAGGCCACTGAAACTCAACAGGGGTGAGCACCACTGGGTACCCCCCATGTGCCATTGGCAGCCACACAGCACAAGAACAAAAGCACGCTGGAACCAGGAAGAGAAGTTTCTTCCTCCTACAGTATCTCCCCAAGGCCCTCTATTGATAAAACTTAGCATCATGCCCACGAGCAAGGAACAAATACTTACAAGGTCCAGCTCCACTAGAGAAGAGCAAGCAGTGAATGGTGAACTTGGAGCTGAAGGGTGATAAATTCATAACTGACACAATGTACATCTAGGTTTTCTCCCATTTTTTACCACCGTAAACAATGCTGTGATTGCCAAACAAAACTCCTTTCACAATTTCTTTTGAGCACTGCGGGTTTTTTTACTTGTTAACCAGTAAGGCAGCAAGAAGATAACAAAAAGGGTGTTCCAGGTCAGATAGAGTATGAAAACAGAGAGGATATATAAAATCCTTACAAGAAAGGAACTAGTTTAGGAAAGAAATATGACAACTTCTTTTCTTAAGGTCATGAAAACAGGGCCATAAAAAGATGGAGGATGCCTGTGGAAGGATCGCCCAAGATGCAACATTACGCTGTAGGTCAAAGAACAACAAAAACTCCATGCATCTAAGTAAAGGATACTGGCTTTTGATGCACCCGTTTTACAAATTTTTCATGAGGTCCAAGTTGCCTATTTTTTTCTTTTGTTGCCTCTGCCTTTGGTGTCAATAGCCAAGAAATCACTGCCAAATCCAAAGTCATTAAGTTTTTTTCCCTATGTTTTCTTCTAAGAGTTTCGTTGTTTTAGGTGTTACACTTAGGTCTTTGATCCATTTTGAGTTCATTTTTGTATATGGTGTGAGATAAGGGTCCAATTCATTCTTTTTTTTTTTTTTTTTTTTTTTTTTTTTTTTTTTTTTTTTTTTTTTTAAGGTTTGTTTACTTTGAGAGAAAGAGAGAGAATCCCAAGCAAGTTCCATGCTCAGCACAGAGCCTGATGCAGGGCTCAATCTCACGACTGTGAGATCATGACCTGAGCCGAAATCAAGACTTGGACACTTAACTGACTGAGTCCCTCAGGTGTCCCAAATAAGGGTCCAATTCATTCTTGTACATGGTTATCCAGTTTTCCCAGCACCATTTGTTGAAAAGACTGTCCTTTCCCCCATTGAACGGTCTTGGCACTCTTGTCAAAAATCATTTGACCACATAGGCAATGATTTTTTTTCTAGGCTGTTTATTCTATTCCATTAGTGAGGTACTTAGAGAAGTCAAAATCACAGAGACAGAAAATAGAATGGTCTTTCCAGGGGCTGAGGGGAGGGAAGAATACGAAGATATTATTTAATGGATATGGAGTTTCAGTTCTAGAAGATAAAAAGTATTATGGACATGTACAGGAGTCATGGCCGGGCAACATTATGAATGTATTTAATACCATTGAACTGTATACTTTAAAATGGTTAAGATAGTAAATCAACCGTTATGTGTATGTATCACAATTTTAAAAAGGGGGGAAACTGAAGTAAATGATGAGGATACATGTGTCTGGTATTTGGAATACCAGTTCATCCCTGAACAGTATGTCTGATAGGACTAATAACTATGAAAGCAAAGGATTATAAATAGAGATCTGAAGCAGAGCACCAAGAAAAAAAAATCTAATTTTAAACAAGCCATTCTTGTGATTTTTCTCAAGCTGCAAACAAAGATGCAGAATATACACTTTTCCCATTTCTTAGTTTGGGGGTCTTTTTTACCCTTTTAATATAATTAACATTTTTGTACGTGCATCTTGTGTACTTTTTTCTCCCTAAGACAAATTTCCAAACATGAAGTTATAGAGTCAAAGGTAGGTCACATTGCTTTGCCCAAAGTTTGTGGCAAATTATGCTCCCACCAACTACATTTTCTTAAACTAGTGTCCAGGGATGGGCTTCAGTGCATCCATGAACATTCCTGAAATTGAGCACAAAATGGATTGCTTATGTTGGCATTCACATTTTTCTGGGACAAGTCTGTATCTTTCAACAGATTTTTTTTTTTTAAGGCTGAAACTCAAATAAGGCTGAGAACTAGTTCACTATAACATCTTCTCCCTATGGCTGTGGTCACCCTATACTTTCATTCATTCAGCAAACTTACCAAATATTAGAAGACTGAAGGTATGCATACGTTCAGGCATACTAGGCACTGGGAATACAGAGATAAGTGAGATTTGACAGCTATCTGCCAGGATCTTACAGTCTTTGGGGATAGGAAGCCGGGAGGAGACAGAATTAGTTGGGTATGATAAAATATCCCAGGCAGGCATTAAGGCACAAAGCAAGGAAGATACAATGTGCTTGGGGAAAAGTTGAGTTTCAGCCTGGTTAGGTCACAGGACCTAACAGTGACAATTTCTGGGTGTGAGGGGGGGGGTCCTATCAGAAGTCAGCCAATGTTTGCACTACCCAATCTTCCTCTTATGACTGAGTACCAATAGGTACAGAATTCTAGCTCGCTAGAGATTACTAATCACAACATTTCATCACAATTTCACACACAGAGAAGCAGCAAAATGCACAGATTAGGGACATGATCTCTGACACCACCTTCTGCAATAATTTAACCTGAGTCTTGGTTTCCCTGACTGTAAAATGGAGCCAATTATACCATATATCCTCTCTTTTAAGGGGCATTCTTTTTCACATTTTAGCTCTTTTCAAATAGGTATAAGTGTTAAAATGGGTATTTATATTTAATTTTGTAATCTTTTCTCTCCTAAAACATTGTCAATACATCTCTTACTCAACAGGATCTCAGAAACAGGGAAATAGGTAACACAACACTAAACCTCAGTTTCCTCACTGGTAGAAATGAGATGATTCTATCTAGGTCATAGAGCTTTGTGAAGATTGACTTTGATAAAGCACATAAAACTCTTAGCGATGTACCTTCCACACAGGAAATGATGGCTTCTCACACACACACACACACACACACACACACACACACACACACACACTGGCATAAAGTGCTCACAGTGTCTGTAAGTCATTCATAGTGACTAAACCAGAAGAGAATTAGCTGTTTGGATGGAAGGTGTCTTCCATAAAAGGTTCCTTTATAAAAAGAAGAATGTTGCTCAAACCTCACTTATAATCCTTGATTAATGGATTTCTGACAAGATCTGTTAGATCCGAGAGGCCCTGGAAGTCCTATTGTTTCCGAGGTTTGTTAGATCTGCCTGAACTGCTCTTACAGGCCTCTTATCTTTCCATCTTCTTACCTTTTTCTCACCTCCTATGGTCTCCTGGCTTCCTCTCTTGCCCCACATACAGTCTCTTCACAATGCAGCAGTCAGACCTATTCTTTTAAACCTTAGATCACATCACTTCTCTGTTCAAAATCCTCCAGTGCCTTCCTTTTTCTCTCAGGGTAAGAGCCTAAGAAAGAAAAAACCAACCCCTGACATCTGGGAACTGGTCTGACTCATCTAGGAAAGCTCTCAGTGTTACTAGAAGCTGACCTGGCACTCACAGCTACGTTGTTATTCTCCTGATGGATGAAACAATCTCACAGAACACAAACATCAGAGAGGGTCACTCAGACCATGATAAAATGAGACAAAATAAGACCACTTCATAATTCTGTCTAAGCAGAGACAAATCAAGGTCATTGTGCAGCCCATGTAATACCAAACATCCTCTTCTGTCTGCTAGTGAGTAACTGCTACTTCTTTACCAATTACTGCTTTAGCCTTGCTCCAATTTGCCCATCTTATATTTACTGAGATATCCAATCACAGAATTGTCTCTGCTTTGATAGCACCCAATCCAAAGTGAAGGGTCACTTCATTAAACCCTCTCCCAAGTCACCCGAAGCCTCAATCCTATGATAGGTCCCTCTAACACAGCCTTATTGAACAGTCCCGATGGTTTTCCATAGCGTCTGCGCCCTCACTGCAAGGAATAATCAGCCCAACCTGTTTAAGTGTGGGTGTGTTCAATGGGCTCTGGCTCGAGGGCAGTGACAAGACACAGTCACAAATGTCTACAAAGGCACCAAAGTGGTTCTCAGACTTCACCATGCATTAGAATCACCCAGGTTTGTCAAAAATAATTGCTTGAATCCCCCTTCCCCCTAGAGTTTCTGATTCTCTAAGTCTGGGGATGGGGTCTTAGAATCTTTCTAGCAAGTTCCAGGTGATGCTGAGGCTGAGTCTGGGGGCCACACTGTAAGAATCACTTCCCTAAACCATCTGTGGCTTCCCCCTTATTTCTCTGACTTAGCCTACTACCGTTTCCTCACCTCTTACTTCATTCTACTCCAGCCACACTGGCCCCCTTGCTGTTTTGAACTGAAGCCTGTCTTAGGACCTTGCTTTGAACTGAATGCCCTCTAATATAGAACACCTACTCTCTCACCTCTCAAGGAGACTACTCTGATCTCCTTACCCTGCCTTTCCCCACAACACTTGATTACCTTCCAGCATACAATCTAATTTACTTATTATATGTAGTTTTGCTCTCCTCCTAATAAAAGAATGACAGCCTTAGGACAGGTGATATTTTTGTCTATTTTATTCACTGCTGTATCCTAGGACCCAGAAAAATATCTAGCAAGTTGTCAATGCTGAGCAAAAGTTTGGTGAATGAATAAATACACTGCCCAGCCTCTACTTTATTCTCCTAATTGAGTCACAGCATTCCAGCCTTTGGCTCTTCCTGTAAATACAGTCACCCTCCTGCTTACACACCCTTCTGACAGTTTCAGTACCTATCTTCTGAGACTTTTTAAGCTCAGTGGCTCAAGACAGGGATAATGCAGGAAAGTAATTCACAAACCAAGGACACCAGACAAAGCCAACAAATTGCATCTCTTCGCCCTCTCTCTGCATACACCCCCTCTCTTGTTCTCAAACTCTTTCTGACCTAGCTTTTTCCTCTCTCTCTCTCCCACCAACAGTTATGGCGCCCCACCTTAAAAAAAAAAAAAAAAAAGGCAATTCCTCCCCGCATGCTGCACCAACCTTCACATCTTCCAGTTTTTCGACAAGACTCCTCCTGACTCCATTTTCCCTTTCTAGCTCCCCGAAATTTTGCTTTTGAAGTTCCGTTACCTCCTCCTTCCTAAATCTAACTGCAATTTTTGGTCTTGATCTTTCTCAATACTCTGCTGAATTTAACACACCCTTCTAGAAACTCTCCTCCAAAACAGCGCGAGTTGCTTCTACCTCCTTTACTGCTTCTTCTCGGGTCTTTCCTATTCCTCTCCTTACAGATGTCCCCAAGTTTCCTTCCAGCAAGCTGGGTTGTGACCCCCTGGGCGCTAACGCCTTTCCGACGGCTCTCAGGGTCCACGCTGGGGCGCTGGTTCGACTCCCGGGCGGAGCGGCCGCTGAGCCTGGGCGTTGGACGCGGGCGGACTTTCGAGCCTGGGAAGGGGCGTGGCCTTGGACAGCTCTGGGAGGCTTGGACCTCGGCGGCCTCCGTCCGGGAACCGGCACGGAAGGAGATCCACGGGCTGGGTCGCGCAACCTGGGTCCGGGACGTGGATGGAGATGGAGTTCGACTGCGAGAGTCTCAGGCGGCTCCTGGGCAAGGTGCAGGCAGCCCGCCGGACCGGGTCTGAGGGTCCGGGGTGTCGGGGCTGAGCTATCTCCTCGTGGGGGTTCCCAGACTAGTCGCGGCGATTGGAGCGGAGGCGGGCTGGCCAGAAGCCGGCTCTGGGGAGTGGTCCCTGGGAGGCCGCGGGCTTCTCCTTCGGGAGCCCTACATCCCTCGGGTCGGGGCTGTGGCTCCGCCCACGACTCCGAAACCCCTGCCCTCCACGCGGTGTGAGTTCTCACGCCACCAGCGTTTCGGCGACTTAGCTCCCAGCGCTCGCCAGTGCCTTTAACCACGCCTTTCCCTATGTTGAAATGGCCTGCCCCCCCTCCTTTTTTTTTTGCTTTGCAATCTTCCCTTCTGAGACTCAGCTCAGATGTCACTCCCTGCAAGATGGAATCACGCCCTTCGCTCCGCTTGCCTTCAGAAGTATGGATTATCACATTGTGGAATAATTACTTATTTACAATTATTTATTTACTTATGCGGTGAACTCTGACGGCAGAGAGGGTGCTGTTGCCCTTCCCTAGCACTGTGCCTGGCCGGAGCAGGGGCTTCTAAATAACTGTGCATTGAACGAAAGACTTGAGTAGATATAGGAATGGAGACAGGGCTTGAAGGCCCAGAAGAGATCCTCTTAATGTTTGAAGGGTTGAGCGGGAAGCCTGACCCAGAAGTCTAACCTACGTTTCTAGGGCATAACTAGCTCCAGTTTCCAGGTTAGTCCATGCACTTGGTCCAGTTTCTTTGGCTTCCCACCAATGTATATTCTGAGGCAACCCCCTTTTCACTAGCTTTTTTCTTTTTTTTTTAAATATAATTTGTTGTCAAATTGGCTTCCATACAACACCCTGTGCTCTTCCCAACAAGTGCCCTCCTCCTCCTCAATGCCCATCACCCACCCATTTTCCCCTCTCCCCTGCCCCTCCATAAACGCTTAGTTTGTTCTCTGTATTTAAGGGTCTCTTATGGTTTGCCTCCCTCCCTCTATTTTTTTCCTATTGCCTTCACCCACAGTCTTCTGTTAAGTTTCTCAAGATCCACATTTGAGTAAAAACACATGGTATCTTTCTCTGACTTATTTCACTTAGCATAATACCCCTTCAGTTCCATCCACATTGCTGCAAATGGCAAGATTTCATTCTTTTCTTGTATCCAGCTTTCTGGTTAAGTGATTCTTAATGCTTCCTTAAAACTTCCCCATGCAGAAACTATACATGTATGCCATTTTGTTGGATTTGACTTAGTTGGGGCAGTTTGTACATCTGTGCGGGGTTGTGAAGCCTCATGAGTAGAAATGTTTATTTAATTGACTTGAATGATTTTATCTACTGTGACAGGTGCAGATGTATCATCTTGTAGGAAGAGAAGTATCATCATGCTTACGATTACACCCTTTGTGTCTCCTCCTCAGAGAACCACTCTCTCAAGTTTTTTAAGGAGGGGAGCATGATGTATTTATTGTTCAGTGGGAAGAACTGTTAAAGTTGAGAGTAGAAAAAGAACTTCATAATTTTTCCCTCATTAGATTAGCATAAATTAAGATAATTTAGATGATTTGGAGGATGCACTTGCCTCAGCCACACTGCTGGTGGTTAAATGGTTATTTAACCATTTTGAAGAACAATTGGGTCTTGTTAATTTGATTATGTGGGTTTTATATCCCCTCTACCTCTAGGTGGCTACCATAGAGAATTCATAGTGTATGAAGCAACAGATACCTGCATAATTATTCATAACTACAGAAACAACCCAAACGTACATTAACAGAAGGAGGGATAATTTGTTGTATATCCACACAATGGAAAACACTACTATGTGGCAATGAAAATGACTGAGCTACAACATGGCAACAATACAAATGAATCTTAGAGACATGATGTTGAGTGGAAAAAAATTGGAGGGTATATGCAAAATTATGTTTTGATAAAGCCAACAAAATTAAAATTAAAAACTAAACAATAAATATGAATACTAAATAATGTGGTGTTTAGGGATGCACGCACATGCATGATAAAACCAGAGGACAAAAGCAGAGGCAAGTGAATATACAATTCAGGGGAGGCAGTTGAGTGGTCGAGAGGAGTAGTCAGACAGATGTAATGGTGTTGGAGAGGTCTGTGCTGTCAAGTATGGTATCCAGGAGCCACAAGTGGCTCTTTGTCAAAACTAGCTAAAATTAAAAATTGAGTTTCTCAGTCACACCAGCCACATTTTGTCAGCCCCATGTGGCTGGTGGCTACTCTATTAGACCTATCACACATAGATCTTTTCCACCATAGCAGAAAGTTTTGTTAGATGTTACTATTTCTAAATCACATGTGAGTGAGTTGGGGCATGCTGTTCATTCTTCAAAATTAGTGTATATGTTTGTGTATGTGTGTAATTATATATATATGTACATATATACACATACACACATGTGTATATATCCTTTAATTTGTTTTAGATATTAAGTTTAGAAAGATTATCTGGTTCCCTAATTCCTATTTCCCACATCCCTCGTTGGGTTACCTTGGACAGGTAACTTAACCTAGATTTGCTCTGCTCACTCGTAGAACAGGAAGTTGGACTTGATCTGTAAGATACCTTCCTGTTAACAATTTTTTTTTAATGTTTTTGTTTTTAATTTTGGGAGAGAGAGCTAACAGGAAGAGCAGAGAGAAAGGGAGAAAGAGAATCGCAAGCAGGCTCCACACTGTCCATGCAGAGCCAGACGTGGGGCTCAAACCCGTGAAGCATGAGACCATGACCTGAGCTGAAATAGAGTTGGAGGCTTAACCAACTGAGCCACCCAGGTGCCTCCTGTTAACATTTTTTTAATGACGTGATGCCACGAAGTATTCCTCAGTGTGTCCTACATTTGAACATAGGTCATATAAGAATACTCTTACATACTTTTCATAAATATAAGTGTACGAAATAAAAATACTGTAGTATAGTAGATAAAGCTAAAATTTTCGTAACTTCTCAATTTTTCAGTTACTGACTTTTATGACAGTATAATTATTTTAGCTTTCGAATCTCACAGGCCAATTTTCCTCTTTAGTGGCATGCCTCCACCCTTCAAGCACATGGGATTGTCTGAGGCACATTTCCTTAGAGAATGTTAGGCAGACTTCTCTTCGGTGTTAATAGGAACAATAATGGAATGTGTGTCTTAATATTATAATAAGAAGATATTCTGTTTCATATATACTGAAAATGATGTGAAGAAAAATTTTTAGGACAAACAAAATAGATCTGTCTTTTTAGGTGTCAAAAAGGCAAATCAGGGGCGACTGGGTGGCTCAGTCGGTTAAGTGTCCAACTTCAGTTCAGGTCACGAACCCCCGGTTTGTGAGTTCGAGCCCCGTGTCAGGTGGGCTCTGTGCTGACAGCTCAGAGCCTGGAGCCTGCTTTAGATTCTGTGTCTCTCTCTCTCTGTTCCTCTCTCTCTCTCTCTCTCTCTCTCTCTCTCTCTCAAAAATATTAAAAAAAATTTTTTTAAGGCAAATCACATATTTGACTATACTAGTGACATTTGGGTATTCAGTCCCTAAGGAAGAGTGCTTTTGCCCTCTTTTGACACACTTTTATAACAGTTTTGCAATTAAATCAATTATGATGTGTATGCCATTAATAATTACATTCTCATGGGACATTAAAGATCCTGAAAACAGCTTATAATTTTAAGTAGGAAACAAAACAAAATTGTTTTCATTCATAATGAATATTTCAGCTGACAGCAGTGCAGCCTTCTGTACATTGGTGGGATGATTTCATTCACTTTTGTTTATGCTGAGTCAGGGACCCTGAATCTGGAACTCATTTCACCCTGCTGTAATTAATACTGATCACTTCTTAGTTTTTGGGGTTTTTTTAAATTTTTTTTAATGTTTATTTATTTTTGAGAGACAGAGGGAGACAGAGCACAAGTGGGGAAGGAGCGGAGAGAGAGGGAGACACAGAATCCGAAGCAGGCTCCAGGCTCTGAGATGTCAGCACAGAGCCTGACACGGAGTTTGAGCCCTCGAACCGCGAGATCATGACCTGAGCTGAAGTCAGCGGTTAACCTACGGAGCTACCCAGGCGCCCCTCACTTCTTAGTTTTGATGCCCAGTCCTGTGGATCATTCTCGTATAAATCTACCTCTTTGCTAACTCCCATCCAGCCTGTATTTATCAGAGGCATACCCAGTGCTAAGTGCTGTGGGGAGGTACAAAGATGAGTAAGAGGTGATTCCTGCCCTCAAGTTGTTAATGATGGGCTTTCTCTTCTGCCAGATTTCTTCCCATCTTAAAATGATCCTCCCCCTTCCCTCTCATTTTCTAGACTCTAATGCAAATTGCAGGCAGCTGTTGCTGGAGGCCTTTCTCTAACTTAGATATGCTTTATGTGGATTCATCACTTCCTGTCTGTACTTACTATTGTATACATTTTTGTTTAATATCTTACTTTTACATATGTTAATCATAAGGTCCTCATACCTACCTGTTGCAGTTGGTAGGCAGTGGAGCTATGTATCTTTTGCAAACGAAAAACTTAAGGCTCAGAGAGGCTCCCACTAATCTACTTTCTGCCTCATGGATTTGCCTGTTCTGGATATTCCATATACAAGTCATATAATATGTGGCCTTTTGTGTCTGCTTTCTTTCACTTAGCATAACGTTTTCAAGGTTCATCCATGTTGTAGTATGTATCAATTCTTTTATTCTTTTTATGGCTGAATATTCCATTTTATGGATATATTACATTTTATTTATCCATTCATCAGTTGATGGAGATTTAGCATGTTTTCACTTGTTGGCTATTATAAGTAACGCTTCTTTGAACAATAGTGCACGTGTTTTTGTGTGGACATATGTTTCCCCTTTTCTTGGTTCTATACCTTAGTGGAATTGCTGGTCGCACGGTAGCTCTATGCTTAAATCTTTTGAAGGACTGCCAAACTTTTCCAAAACGGCTGTACCACTTTCCCACCAGCAGTAGCTTATGTATACAGGGGTTCTGACTTCTTCACATCCTCTCCCATCCTTACTGTTTTCTGTGTTTTTATTATAGCCTGTCTTTTAATTATAGTATGCATCCTCCAACTCTTCTGTTCTTTTACAGGATTGTTTTGGGCTGTGCTAGGTCTCTTGCATTCCCATCTGAATTTTAAAAATTTTATTTATTTAAATTCAAATTAGTTAACGTACAGTGTAGTATTGGTTTCCAGAGTAGAACCCAGTTATTCATCACTTATGACACCCAGTGCTCATCCCAACAAGTGCCCTCCTTAATGCCCATCACCCATTTAGCCCACCCCCTACCCACCACCCCTCCAGCAACCCTCAGTTTTGTTCTCTGTCTTTAAGAGTCTCTTATGGTTTGCCTCTCTCTCTGTTTTTATCTTATTTTTCCTTCCCTTCCCTTGTGTTCATCTCTTTTGTTTCTTAAATTCCACATATGAGTGAAATTATATGATACTGGTCTTTCTCTGACTTATTTTGCTTAGCATAATACACTCTAGTTCTGTCCACGTTGTTACAAATGGCAAGGTTTCATTTTTTCTGGTCGCTGAATAGTATTCCATTGCATATATATACTACATCTTTATCCATTCATCAGTCAATGGACATTTGGCCTCTTTCATAATTTGGCTGTTGTTGATAGTGCTGCTATAATCATCGGGGTGCATGTGCTGCTTCGAATCAGCATTTTGGTATCCTTTGGATAAATACCTAGTAGTGCATTTGCTGGGTTGTAGGATAATTCTTTTTTTTTTAATTTTATTTTTTATTTTTTTTGAATTTACATCCAAATTAGTTAGCATATAGTGCAACAGTGATTTCAGGAGTAGATTCCTTAGTGCCCCTTATCCATTTAGCCCATCCCCCCCCCCCCACAACCCCTCCACTAAGCCTCTGTTTGTTCTCCATATTTATGAGTCTCTTATGCTTTGTCCCCCTCCCTGTTTTTATATTATTTTTGTTTCCCTTCCCTTATGTTCATCTGTTTTGTCTCTTAAAGTCCTCAGATTAGTGAAGTGATATGATTTTTGTCTTTCTCTGACTAATTTCACTTAGCATAATACCCTCCAGTTCCATCCACGTAGTTGCAAATGGCAAGATTTCATTCTATTTGATTGCCGAGTAATACTCCATTGTATATCTGTACCACATCTTCTTTATCCATTCATCCATCAATGGACATTTGGACTCTTTCTATACTTTGGCTGTTGTCGATAGTGCTGCTGTAAACATGGGGGTGCATGTGTCCCTTCGAAACAGCATACCTGTATCTCTTGGATAAATGCCTAGTAGTGCAATTGCTGGGTCGCAGGGTAGTTCTATTTTTAGTTTTTTGAGGAACCTCCATACTGTTTTCCAGAGTGGTTGCACCAATTTGCATTCCCACCAACAATGCAAAAGCAATCCTCTTTCTCCGCGTCCTTGCCAACAACTGTTGTTGCCTGAGTTGTTCATGTTAGCCAGTCTGACAGGTGTGAGGTGGTATCTCATTGTGGTTTTGATTTGTCTTTCCCTGATGATGAGTGATGTTGAGCATTTTTTCATGTGTCAGTTGGCCATCTGGATGTCTTCCTTGGAAAAGTGTCTATTCATGTCTTTAGCCCATTTCTTCACTGGATTATTTGTTTTTTGGGTGTTGAGTTTGATAAGTTCTTTATAGATTTTGGATACTAACCCTTTATCTGATATGTCATTTGCAAATATCTTCTCTCATTCCCTCGGTTGCCTTTTAGTTTTGCTGATTGTTTCCTTTGCTAGGGTAATTCTGTTTTTAATTTTTTGAATTTTAAGATCGATTTGTAAATTTTTGCAAACAAAAAGCCAGTTGGGATACTGATAAGGATTGTTGATTATTGAATCCGTTGGGGAATATTACCATCTTAACAATAGCAAGTCATCTGATCTACTAACAAGGGATGGCTTTCTTTTACTTAGATATACTTTAATTTCTTTCAACAATGTTTTGTAGTTTCTACACTAAGTTTTACATCTTGTTCAAATTATTTCTAAGTAGTTTTTTTCTTTTTGATACTATTGCAAATGTAACTATCTCCTCAAATTTCATTTTGAGATTGATAATAGATTCTTCAGATACTTTTTCTTTTCTTCATGTAATCCTCAGCACAAGTCTAGGAGGTGGCTCTCTTTGCAAATGAGGAAATAAGTTCAAAGAAGTTAAATGACTTTGCCAAGGTAGTATTTCTGGGAGTACATCTGGATGAATAAAGAGGCAGTTGACTCAACTTGACTGCAAACCCTTGAGTGATGTCTGTTCTCCCTTTGAAACCCAGGATGCAGTGCCAGGAGGGTTAGGAGGGGAATTCAGGGTGTCTCATTCCTTGAATGAGGTATTCAAGGAGGAGACTTGGATCTTGAATAGTGGTGACAGGGGTGGTGCTCCTGCCCTCTTTCTTAAGCTTTCAGGAAGTATTTGGAAATTTAGTTTGATTTAGTGATAAAAGGCCCAAGTCCAGAGTTTGAGCTCTGGCTTGACTCTAACTGTCTAACTCAGCAAGTTAGTTTGCTTCTCTAGCTTTCATTTTCATCTTCTGTAAAGTAGAGCAGTCATAAGCCCTGCTACCTACTTCATGGGGTCATTATTAAAAAGAGTAAATCACATACTATCCATGTTCATAAAACTCAGAGCCGGGGGCCTAGCACATGGTGTTCTGTTCAGTGCTAATTGTAATCGTTCTGCAGCTTGTAGCTTGATTCTTACTTGGTTCTCATCTTTCTCTTTTCAGTACAAGTTCAGAGATCTAACTGTGGAAGAACTAAAGAATGTAAATAGGTTTTTCCCACATTTCAGATATTCCATGGACACCTATGGTAAGAGTCATAACCTCTACTATTAACTTTAGTAAATTGTGAATTATACTTAGAGAGCTACAAAATTGTAATTTCTCACTTCTCTCTTTTATCCCCTGATTTTCAACTATACTTTGTGACCTGTGTTTTCTGAGGAAATTTAAGTTAATACAACTTATATTGTATTAGTTTTCTGTTGCAGCCATAACAAATTAGCAAAAATGTACAGGCTTAAATACAGAAAACAAACTGGTGGTTGCCAGAGGGTAGGTAGGTGGGAGGGTGGATGAGTGAAAGAGAGAAGGGATTCAGAGTACACTTACCTTGATGAGAACTGAGAAATGTGTAGAATTGTTGAATCATTATATTGTACATCTGAAACTAATATAACATTGTGTGTTAATTATACTTGAGTATGAATAAATAAACAAACAACAACCAATCAGCACAAATTTATTAGTAGCTCAAAAAAGCGCAAGTTTACTATCTTAGAGTTCTGTAGGCTAGAAGTCCAACACATGTCTCTTTAGGTTAGACATTTAGGCCAAAAGCAAAGTGTTGGCAGGTCTTAATTCCTTTCTGGAGGCTCTGGCAGAGAATGTAATTCTTTGCCTTTATTATTATTATTATTATTATTTAGTTTATGTATTTCTTCCAGTAATCTCTACACACAAGGTAGGGCTCGAACTCACCACCTTGAGATCAAGAGTCACATGCTCTAGTGACTGAGACACCCAGGCACCCCGCCTTGCTTTTTTTAGTTTCTAAAGGTTAGCCATATTCTTTAGCTTGTGATCTCTTTCCTCCATCTTCAAAGCTAGCAATGTTGCATGTCTCTGACCATTCTTCTCTAGTCATATCTCTGATTTTAAGGCCCAGTGTGATTAGATTAGGCTTACTCCAATAATACAGAATAATTTCCCCATCACAGGGTCCTTAACTGCATCTAAAATGTCTCTTTGGCAAGTAAGATAACATATTCACAGGTACCAAGGATTAGGATATTGGACATCTTTGGAGGCCATTGTTCTGCCTACCACATAAATGGTTGAGTCTGAATTATTAATAACAAAAGTTTTAGTTATCTTGTTCACTTATAGTTACCTAAGAAAGATTTTACTTCACTGTCTTTTAAAATTTCTGACCACAAATCACGCTTGAAAATGCATTTTAGGGGCCCCTGCACGGCTCAGTCGGTTGAGTGACCAACTTTGGCTCAGGTCATGGTCTTATGGTTCATGGGTTCAAGCCCCATGTCAGGCTCTGTGCTGACAGCTCAGAGCCTGGAACCTGTTTTGGATTCTGTCTCCCTCTTTCTCTGCCCCTCCCCCGCTTACACTCTGTCTCTCTCAAAAATAAATAAACATTTAAAAAAAATTTTTTTAATGCATTTTATATCCTGACTCCATAGACACATAACTGAAATAGTGTGTACACTCTGGCATTTTCTATTCCATTCCATTTCATTCAAAGACAAATGCTAATTGAGATTCACAAAATTGATTTTAGGACCCAGAAATTAGTCACAACACATGGTTTTCAAAAACTTATTTATATTCCATGGGAATGTTTTATATTAGAATTAGTTAGAAATGTATCTAATTCAGATTTATATATTAGAAATTTTGAGGAGTTATTGAAGTATTTCTTAGGGATAGCTAGTTAATTTCACATGTGGAAGAAATTATTAAATTCTAGCCCATCTGTGACTGGCCTCTCTTGATTAGCACCTCATTATTTGGTGCTGCATAAATGAGTGGGATCGGGGATATGACAGCTACTTTTTATTGAATGCCAGATATGTTTCCAAATGTTTTATCTACATTATCTTACATATTTTTTTACAACCCAAGCTGTGAGTTAAGACAAAATTAAAAACAATTTCTAAATAAAACTTAAAGTATAATAATTGTGTTATTTACAATAGGAATCAAAGAGAATAAAAATGAATGAATTAAATAAGTAAAAAGTTCACAGAACAGACTGTGTGATACAATTTCATATGTAAAAAAAAGTTTATGAATTTTTTTAATGTTTACTTATTTTTTTTTTAACACTTTATTTTATTTTTGGGAGAGACAGAGCATGAACAGAGGAGGGTCAGAGAGAGGGAGACACAGAATCTGAAACAGGCTCCAGGCTCCAGGCTCTGAGCTGGCAGCACAGAGCCTGACGCGGGGCTCAAACTCACGGACCGTGAGATCATGACCTGAGCCGAAGTCGGCCGCTTAACCGACTGAGCCACCCAGGCGCCCCAATGTTTACTTATTTTTGAGAGAGAGAGAGAGAGAGAGAGAGAGAGACAGCACTAGCGGGGGAGGGGCAGAGAGAGAGGGAGACCCAGAATCTGAAGCAGGCTCCAGGCTCTGAGCTGTCAGCACAGAGCCTGACACGGGGCTTGAACCCACAAACGATGAGATCATGACTTGAGCCGATGTTGGACGTTCAACTGACTGAGCCACCCAGGCGTCCCAAAAGTTTATGAATTTTTAAAAAGGCCTTCGGAAGAATATGCTAAATGGTTGTCTTTCCATAAAGGAATTATGGGCGAGTCTTACACTTTAGTTCATGTTTCGGTAACTTAATAGATTTCTACAGACATATACACTTTTAACATTAACAAAACCAATAAGATATTTTTTTAAGTTTTTATTTAAATTCCTGTTAGTTAACATACAATGTAATATTAGTTTCAGGTGTACAATTTAGTGATTCAGTACTTACATACAATACCTGGTGATCATTCTAGCTAGTGTACTCCTTTAAAAAAAATCTTACTTATTTAAGCCATAAATCAATAAGATAAGTGAAACTAAGTTGAAAGTTACAGAGGCACCTGGGTGGCTCAGTTGGTTGAGTGACAGACTCTTGATTTTGACTTAGGTCATGATCTCACCATTAGCACAGAGCTATCAGCACAGACCCTGCTTGGGATTCTCTTTCTCCCTCTCCCTCTCCCCTGGCCTGCTTGTGTGCTCTCGCGCTCTCTCTCTCTCTCTCTCTCTCTCTCTCTCTCTCTCTCTCTCAAAATAAGTGAGCTTAAAAAAAATAAAGCTAACTTTTTTTTTTCTTAATTGCATCTAAAGATTATAAAATTATAAAATCTTAAAATTGTAAAGTTGGAGTCTGGTATCTGAAAATGATTATAACTTTTATATTGTAAGGGTTAAATTGTAGTGTAGGGCTAACGCTTAGCTTGAAAAATAACAGCTTTGTGTTGACACTGAAGGTTGAGAGATAACAGCCTTGCTTTGCTCTTGTAAACTAGCCTCATACTCTTGTAAATTAGGCTTCACCAATTAAGGAAACAAAAGTTCAAAAAAAAGAGCATCAGAGGCAGGGTCAAGGAGATCCACTGGTTGCAACTTAGAGGCAGAAAGTCTAAAATAAACACCTCATTAGGCAGCTGTTTCTAACTCATCTGGAAACTGTTTCTTTGTTCTGTTCCCAGGTGATGATAAAACGATGTGATCGGTTATAAACTCTGTACCCCGGCTGTTCGAGGCCGCACTCTTATCAAGAGTGTTGGTCCCGATCGGTCGGCCTTGCCTCTCATTGTAATAAACTTTGTTGTGACTGTCACTGGTGCCCGTAGCATTCTGTTTCAGGAGTCGTGTGGATGCAACAATATGTGACAGTTATTTGATGGTGTCCCTGAGTTTTATAGTCCTAAACTTTTTTTTATATGTTTATTTTTGAGAGAGAGGAGAGAGAGCGCACTCTTAAGTGGGGAGGGGCAGCGAGAGGGAGATAGAGGATCTGAAGCAGGCTCTGTGCTGATAAGCAGCGAGCCTGATGTGGGGCTTGAAGTCACGAACCTCGAGATTATGACCTAAGCCAAAGTCATATGCTCAACCAGCCAAGCTACCCAGGCACCCCTATGGTCCTAAAGTTCTTAAGTATGTTTTCACATTATCACATTTGATCCTTATGACCACTTTATGATGTAGTCTTGCTTTCTTTATTTTATAGATGATGAAACTGAAGGTCAAAGGGATTCAAGTAACAGCTTCAACAGTAAAGCTGCATGTGTCTAAGTGGGGAAAGTAGGTCTAGAATCTGGAGTTTCTGTATCAAAGCCTTCTGTGCTTTCAGCTATCCTCTTGGCTTTCTAAGAAAAGCCAAGTATGTGGTAATCTCCCCTTGTCAACATAGTTACAGATGCCTAGATGATGAACCTTAAAAATTAGGTGTGCTTCTGTATGTGGGTCTGTGTGTGCGTAAACTTTCATACAGTTTTTTCTACTTTTGAGTGTACATTTTGGGGCTTTTATTTTTCTTCCAGTGTTCAAAGATAGTTCCCAGAAAGACCTGCTGAATTTCACTGGCACTATTCCTGTGATGTACCATGGTAAGTGTGGAAGTTGAGAAAATGTGGGAATTTTGTAAAAGAACAGTTTAACAAGAGCTTACATTTGTTTAGTTCCATAACATTCTCTAAAGTATTTTCACATATAACATAATGTACACAGAACCTTACTGCATATAGCAGAATGCTGTCCCATTCAAGGTGGCCTAGATTAATATCAACAAATTCAATTCAGTTCAAAAAATACTTAACGAGTATCAACTATGTTCCCACTAGTCTGCTAGGTGCTGGGGTACAGAGGAGAGTAAGACAGATGTTGGGGAGGAAGACCTTCCTCTGCCCTGTAGTCCTTCCAGCTGGACTTAGAATCAAATTGACATAAGACAGGTTAACAGGAGAAAATGAAATTTAGTAGGTGTGCGTAGTGGGGAATCCACACAGACATGAGATTCCGAGGACAGTGAGGGAGCATGAAGCTTATCTGAGCTAAGGAGAGGGGAGGGGCCTGCAGACACAAAAGGGAGAAAGACCACTAGCAAGAAGGGAAAGGAGATACTTGGAAAAACAAAGGTTGCCCTGTTATGCAGCTAAACTCTAGGTAAAGGGGAGTCTCCTTTAATAGCTCTCTTCCAGGTACAGGCTCTTCCTCCCATTGTAATTTAGGCAGTTGAGAGGGAGGAAGAAAGCTTTTCCTGAATCTGCCAAGTTTTGATTACTTTTAACTCAAAATAATCTTTGTGCCAAAGTGGCCCATCTTGGGGCAGCCTGCCCTGGGCCCCTACACAGAGACAGGCCTGATTTTATGGACCGTTCTCTTTGCTTTCCATAGCAAAATGCAAGGATCACACCTTCTTCTCCATTACATCAATGTTTTGATCCTCTCCGTTTCCCTCTGTATGATGTCCCCATTGTATGGGTGAAACTCAGTCTTAGCCTAGTCAAGCGATTTACCTAAAACCACACTGCTTGTATCAGACTGTAACTTGAAACTCCAGTAGGAAATTGGGGGCCATTAAAACTCAAAGAAGGCATCATATTTTCAAGTGATCTGCCTGCTATCAAGTGATAGCTAAGTGTTTGCCAAAAAACAAACAAACAAACAAAAAATCGCTAGTTCCCCCATTCTTAACTCTTCCTATTTGTCCAAACCTACTTCTATCAGTGTTCGAGACGACTAACCTTTCAGGTAGGTATTATAGGTGATTGCTTATGTGGTATGATGTGAAGAAAACCAGTGAAGCTTTGGTTCTAATAGATGTCTCTGAAGGGGTGTCTGAAATCCTACCACTAAAAACCTATTCCTGGTCTATAATCCCAAGAGGGTTAATATCCCAAATTACTAATACATAGTGCTGTGTTTATAGAAAATACCTGGTAAATATTTGTTGCATGGTTGAGTTTATTTGATTACTGACTGAAGGGGCTTAGTAATAAATGAATTTGCTGGGCAGTTGAGAGAGGAGGTAACTAAAAAGGGATGAGGAGGACCTGAAAACAAATGGGGAGAGAATGGTGGAATTTGCTCCTTCACAAAAAACTCAGCACTGTATTATAGGAAGACACTGCCCAAAAGACACCAAGGAGCTGTATTTTGGGGGACTTTTTTCAAAGTAGGTATTTCATTATGGTCCTAGACTGTTAACAAACCCTTCTTAATTTCTGCCCTTCCATGATCACTCACTGCGTGAGGTTCACTCATGTGTTATTCTGCCACTGTTTATGTCCCACTGTGACACCTCCTTTGGCATAGGAAATGCGTAAGAATTCAGTTTGGTTTTTATTTTTTTTATTAAAAAAAAATTTTTTTTAACGTTTATTTATTTTTGAGACAGAGAGAGACAGAGCATGAACAGGGTAGGGTCAGAGACAGGGAGACACAGAATCTGAAACAGGCTCCAGGCTCTGAGCTGTCAGCCCAGAGCCTGACGTGGGGCTCGAACTCACGGACTGCGAGGTCATGACCTGAGCCGAAGTCGGCCACTTAACTGACTGAGCCACCCAGGCACCCCTCAGTTTGGTTTTTATACATAAGAATATGGTTCGAGATGGAAGTAGATGAACAGTGAGCTGGGCTCTGCAGAAATGGCAGAATTGATTTTTATTTTCCTTCTTGTTCCTCTCCTGCCAAACTCTCAGACTCTTTTCTGGCTGCCTAGAAAACTTTACTCAGACCTGTTCCCCATTACTTGTGTTCTGCATTTATTATGATTAGATGTTAGAGAGAGAGAGAATTATTGCCCACCCCAGTGATTGGTTGACTGATTTCATTCCCAATTCTTACCCACCCCAGTGATGTCAAGGGTAATTATATATTAACAGAGGAGCTCATCAAGTGAATCACTGCTTAATAGCATTTCGGTTTCAAAGATAGTGTGAGGGGGTAACAGGAGGGCATAAATCCTATTTTAATGTCATTGGTAAAATGCCCCTCATTGGCGTTCTGCATTTCCTAAAGCCGAGGAGTTATTTCATTGATCCTTAAGCTGGATCTTCCAAGGTAGTAATGGTACCGAAGTACCTTTTGTTTTTGTTTTTTTTTTTTTTTTTTTTTTTGCAGTACATTCTTTTTTCTTTGCTTTTGAGTAGAATTATATCAACTCTTTGTGATCCATATTAGTTACTTCCTGCTGATCAGAGGTCAGAATGTTACAATAATAGATACTAACTCCAGAATTTGTAAAATGTTACAATAATAGATACTAACTCCAGAATTATGAGGATTAAGTGAATTACCATAAGTAAAGCTCTTGGCATAGTGCCTGGCACGTAATGCTTAATCCTGTATTTCTTTCAGTTCTTAGTTTTATTAGTATAATAATAATACATACTTGTGCTAAAAAAAAAAAAAAAACTTAAAAATTGAGAAGGGATGAGGTTAAGCTTATAACTAACCTCCTACCCAGTCCTATTCCCCAGATGAATCTTCCATTGATATTTCCTTATGTGTATCTGCAGACATTTTCTGAATCATTTATTATCTCTCCAAGATTGTGTGAAGGTTATGATGATGCTTTTTATTCATCCACTGTACTTGAGAGATGTGTATCATCTTAATAAGTGATACCCATCTGAATTTTATTTACAGCTAACTTAAATTATATTTTTATGATATAATTACTTCAGATCTGAGGACTCTACCAGGATTTCTGACTCTTTGGTAATGAATTCCCGAAAGCTAAGTGGGCAGGGAATGAGGCAGGGCAGTGGCTGACAGAAAAGAATGGGAAAGAAGAAAGGAAGAAGAGAGCAGAACACCAGTAGTGAAATCTTACCAGTTGGACATGGGAATCAGGCTCACCAGTTGCTTCGCGAGGTATGGGCTAGTAAAATGCATGAATGCTGCTGGGGAAGAGCATTGATGGGGGCAGCAGATCCTTGATCAACTAGGAAGATACCATCAATAGACATTTCTTTCCTTTTCTTTAATGTGTGGTACTTAACACAGAAAGCGACACCATGGAGATTTGGCTACTCCAGCTATATTATGTAACAAGAAAATTTGCATGGCCTAGAACAGTGGCTTTCAAATGCCTTGACTGTGACCCACAATAAGAAATACTGTACTTTTATAGACACAGCTAGCACACATGCATGTGCACGCACTCATATGTGTACATGTGAGTACATGTGCATTATATGTACATGTAATGTACATATGTACATTAATATATGAAACTGCCAGGGGTGCCTGGGTGGCTCAGTCGTTTAAGCATCTGACTCTTGATTTCAGCTCAGGTCACGATCTCACAGTTTGCGGGTTTGAGCCACACATTGGGCTCTGCACTGACCATGTGGAGCCTGCTTGGGATTCTCCCTCTCCCTATCTCTCTTTCTCTCTCTCTCAAAAGTAAATTAGAAAAAAAGAAACACCATAATACCTGTCATGTATTCTATTTTCTTTTCAATTCCATTTGAAAATATTGCTTGCAGCCCACTAAATTAATTTTGTGACCCATTTATTGCGACCACTATCTGAAAAACACTCTCTAGAGAGTATGTAACGTTAGACAGAATAACTGCTTTTGGAGAAATTTGATGGTGTCTCAGTACCTGTCAGTCACTTTGTGGTGCTACAATCACATGACTTTATAATCAGAATTATCTATGGATCAGTAGCTATGCCGATAGCCAAATAGTAAATACTTAGACACTATGGTGACAGATGTTAACTAGACTTATTGTAGTGATCATCTTGCAATATGTACAAATATCAAATCATTATGTTGTACGGTGAAACTGTTATGTTATATGTCAGTTATATCTCAATTAAGAAAATTTTTTTAATACTTAGACGAAAATAGAAGAGGAGTGTTGTTCTCAGTACTGCTGATATAAAATAATAGACCAACAAGTATTAGGGCATTTCTATAATACTGATTTGCAATCTTAGTTGCACATTAGCATTACATGGGAAGCTTTTAAAAAATGTTGTCCATACCCCATCCCATTGGATCAGAAACTGGGAGGGTGGCATAGGTATTGGTATGTTTCCAAGTTTCTTGAGTGTTTCTAATGTGCATACAGGGTTGAGTATTGTTGTATCCTTAGAGGAAGAAACAAGATGAGAAAAGTAGCTGTCAGTGGAAGGATGATTTTCTTAGCAAGAAAAAGATTTCAGTAGAAAACAATACTTTTTTATTTATACCTGCCCTATAGTTAAACCTTCAACATGGGTTTGAAGTAAATTGCAAAAATTGCCAACCCTTCATGGTACTTACCATATGATGTACTGTTCTAAGCATCTTACATACCTCAACTAATTTCATCCTTACAACAACCCTATGGGGTAGGAGCTATTATTACTATTTCCATTTTATAGAGGAAGGAATTGAGGCACAGCCAAGTTAAATAACTGGCCTAAAATCATACAGCTAGTAGTCGTGGGTGAAACTAGGATTTAAACGTAGGCATTCTTGGTCCCGAGCAGCCATGTTTGTAAGTATAGTGAAAGACATGCAGTCAGACTGTGAGTGCAGGAATTGACCATCAGGAGATACAATAGATACAGCTAATGGAGTTGATCAGATTTCTAGTTTAAGTTTAGTTTTTACACTTTCATTAGGTCGTAGATTTGGGCTTCCTGGCAACCAGAGCCGTCAGAGATTTTGGCTCTCAGTAGTCATGACATTACACGTGTGTGGTTGGAAGATCATGCACTCAAGTTCCTGTCTCTCAGTACACTGGGCAAGGTGATGCTTAAGGTTCTTTTCAGCTCTAAGTTCTGTGATCTAACCCAGCTTGATGACAGTTAGTGAGTAATTTGCAGGTCAGTATCAAATGTATCCAATTCGTCTTTGTTAATTCATTAATTTTTCATGTGTTTATTCATTCACTTATTCTTATGCATATAGGAAACCTTTATTGAGCAATCAGTATGTTGGGCTCTATACTTGGTGTGGGGAAAATAGAAATGAATAATACCTAACCCTCTGGAAGTTTACTGTGTAAAAGGAGACACAGATCTGCAGGCAAGTAACTTCAATGCAGAATAAGTATAAAAATAAAAGTGTCCACTACCTTTAAAGAAAGGTACAATAGCTCTGCTTGGGTGGGGCAAAGAGGTTACATAGAGAAGATACTGTATCCCAGACTCCTGGTACAATAGGTCCTGTAAATATTATTGAATTGAATTGGATGAGCTGGCCATTGTCTTAATTAAATTTCTTCAGATGTTATGCTGCTGCTTTAATGGGAACATGAAAATGGAGAAGTAGGCCTCGATTTATGTAAATTCTTTATATATGCACTTGACTACAGGTCTTAAGATGCCACCTAGCTGTACCATAAATATAATGTATATGCTTCATCATTATTTGAAGATGTGTTTATTTTGTCTCAAATAGGTAATACATACAACATACCAATTCGTTTGTGGATCTTGGATTCCCACCCTTTTGCTCCCCCCATTTGCTTCTTAAAGCCAACTGCAAATATGGGTGTCTCAGTTGGAAAACATGTGGATGCTCAAGGCAGAATATACTTGCCCTATCTTCAAAACTGGAGCCATGTAAGATCAATTTGGATTTTCTTGTAAAAGTTTTTATTTTTCTGGTGGTACAAATTATTTTTCTCATGGTACAAATAAGTGAATTTTCTTTTAATGACACTCCTCATATGGTCTTTGAAAGTAATTTTAAATTGAACTCCCTAGAGTCACCTAGGTTCCAGAACCCCAGTGACAGACAGCAGCCCGCATGAAGCACAGGTCTGGAGCCAACTATTATTTGCTCCCTCTCTTTTTATAGTTGTTTACTGCTTATAAAGCACATGAAAAGCTACTAGCAAGATATTGGGCATTATTTCCTAGTCCCTCCTTATTAAAGATTTTTATGTAATATATGTATATATTTATAGTCTTGGGAGGGCCTGGGGGAGTCAGTTGGTTAAGTATCCGACTTTGGCTCAGGTCATGATCTCACAGTTTGTGAGTTCAAGCTCCTCATTTGCCTCTGTGCTGACAGTGCAGAACCTGCTTGGGATTCTCTCTCTCTCCCTCTCTCTCTGCTTCTCCCTACATGCCCCCTCTCTCTTTTGCTCTCTCAAAATAAAGAAAAACTTAAATAAAAAAAGAATGTATTTTTTGTTTTGCCTGTTTTTGACCTTTATGTAAATTGAATCATACTGTATATAATCTTTTATTACATGTTTTGTTTTAACTGAGCATTAAGTTTTAAAAATGCATTCACAATGATATATGTAATTAGTTTATTTGCTTGAAAGTTCTCACATTGTGTAATTTTGTAATGATATATGTAACTAGTTTATTTGCTTTAAATTTCTCACATTATGTAATTTTGTTTTCTGTATTTTTCATCTACCATTATTATATTGAGCATGTCTCATATTAAACAATCTGTTCAAAATACATGGTCTTTAATTGGTTGCCTGATGATCTAGCATAAGGATATTGGCATAATATATTTACAGATTGCTCTGTTGTTAGAAATTTAATGATAAGCATCCTCAAATATAAATACATATAAGCATAAATGTGTATACATTATAAATATTTAATAATTTCCTAATGAAAAATCTCTAGGAATGAAATTACTGAATCAAAGCTTAGAAATATTTTGAAGGCTATTCTTACATATTGCCAACTTGGCCTCCAGAAGGTAGACAAAATGTATTTCTACCATCACTTGAAATCAGTGTAGAATGCCACTTTTCCAGCACTCTTGCCCTAACCAGAAGGTATTATCATTTAAGCAAAACAAACCTTTGCTTATCTCTATATATTTACTTACAAGGATGTACAATATGTTCTCATTTTTATAAGTAATTAAGATCTTTATGAAAGGATAATTTATAATATATATATATATACCTAGAAAATTGTAGGGCAGGAGGACCAGAGATCCCTGAAGGAGATCAGGAATATGTTGAGTCAAGTGAGATTAGAGTAAAGGATGGTGTTAGGATTATCACTTTTTGTTTTATATACATCCTGTGAAAAAGCATGCAATTATGGACACGTTTTACTTTGTTTTTACAGTTTTCTCTATTTTTCATATATGTAAAACCTTTAAAAAGAAGAAAAAAATACAAGAAGGGATGAACACCAAGTGGTTGGTAGTGGAGTTTAGGTGCAGGAACATTGATCTTTTACTTTATGAATTTGTACATCATTTGCATTATGTGGTGATTTTATTTAATAGGATTGCCAGTTTAATGTGATGAATAGGGCATAATAAAAATTTATCCATTGGGGGGACAAAAATGATATCTTAATGTTTAGTTGTTTGATTATTTGAGAAATTAAAGTATTTTTCATATATTGATCACTTATGTTGCTTTTTAAAAAAATTTTTTTTAATGTTTGTTTATTTTTGAGAGAGAGAGAGTCAGAGTGTGAGTGGCAGAGGGGCAGAGAGAGAGGGAGACACAGAATCTGAAGCAGGTTCCGAGCTCCAGGCCATCAGCACAGAGCCCAATGCAGGGCTCGAACTAATGAACCGTGAGATCATGACCTGAGCCAGAGTCAGATGCACAACCGACTGAGCCACCCAGGCGCCCCTAGGTTCCTTCTTTTTTTAATTGTTTATCGCCTTCAGCCATTTTTACCCTTCTTTCCGCCCCCCCCCCCCCCCCCCCAGCTATCCTCAAACGATATTTTGACATCTGTTCCCTGTTGTGGGAATTCATCTTTCCAGTTCCCTTTTTCTGGTTTTCATTGGCATCTCTTTTCATAGTTTTGTTTGTTTAATAAATACTTAGAGATAGCCCTATTAACCTAGTTGAGGTTGTATTTGATTTGAGTTCAGACACTATTGATTTCACTTTACTATTCTGAGCCTCTTTATTATGAGCTAAAACTAGTCTTTTTTTTTTTTTTAAGCTAAAACTAGTCTTAAATTGCCCTAGTTAAAAGTACTGCAGTAACTTTAAGTTCCTCACGTAGTTGGAATTATAATTATGTGATAGAATTACATAGAATTTTGGAGCTGGAAGGAATCTAGAGGCTGTCTAGGCCAAAGATTGCAGATGTTTTCCCCAAGAAATTCAGAGTTTTGTTGAACAGAAAAGTGGGTTTGTTTTGCTCTTAATACGAATTTGAATGCCTGTATGTACACTCCAGTTTGTCTCAATAACCATCTCCCCAAATGTTCTTAAACTTGCCAGCTTCCCACATTATGTTCTCTGCTTGGTCTTCAGAGGTGTTTGAGCTTTTGATCCTAATAGCTTCATCCTCTTAATATATAAGTAATGAATCTCTCAGACTTCGGGAAATTAAATCCTTTTCAAAATAAGCAAACTGCTAAATATTTTCAATACTAATAAATATTTTATACTCACAGCATATGTTTGCATGCATTTGTTTCTCATGATAGCCACTTGGGATTTATTATTCATATTATATTGCTGATAACCCTGAAGCTCAGAGAGGTTAAGTGAATTTCACTAAGGTTGCTTAATAAATTAAAAGAAACAGTACTGGATTAGATACTATTTTATCAGTGTCACTTTTCTGATTTGATAATGCTTACATAGGAGAATGTCTGTTTTGTTTTTTCTTTTAGGAAATACATACTAAAGTATTTAGGGGTGAAAAGGTATCAGATCTACAATTTATTCTCAGTTTGTTCAGAAGAATATGTAGAGGGACACAGACTGAGAAAATATATGTGTTAAAATGTTAACATTTGAGCGACCTGGGTGAAGAGTATTATGAAAATTCTTTGTACTATTGTTGTGACTTTTCTGTAAGTCCGCAATAATTTCAAAATAAAAAGTTCAAAAAAAGACTGTTCCTGAATATAGGTACTCTGCTAGTAAGCATAGTCATGCTATGTTCCCATCTTTTGGTGAGCTGGATTAGCATTTCTCTAGTTTTCAGGTAAAAGAATTAAGTAACTTTTCAGTTAAAAGTATCATCGAATTTGTATGATAATTTTCAAAAAATAAGAGCATAATGCAAAACTTTCTTTGGGTTAACTCTTTAACAATGCATAGGTTAATAAGGTGGTATTCTTGAGCAAAATCTTTGCATCACTTTTCCCTTTGTGTGTATTCTGCAGCCTAAGTCTGTCATTGTTGGACTAATTAAAGAAATGATTGCCAAGTTTCAAGAGGAACTTCCCCTGTATTCTCTACCGTCGTCTGATGAGGCACGGCAGGTAGACTTGCTAGCCTATATTGCAAAAATCACTGAAGGTTTGTATTTTTGTTAATCAGAGAGTTATGAGTTTACAATTTCTAATATCCTTTACTCCCTGCTCTTGCTTTCTTTTTCTTTAAAAAAAAAAAAAATACTTATTTTGGAGCATCTGGGTGGCTCAGTCGGTTGAACGTCTGACTTCGGCTCAGGTGGTGATCTCGCGGTTGGTGGGTTCGAGCCCCACGTCAGGCTCTGTGCTGACGGCTCAGAGCCTGGAGCCTGCTTTGGATTCTGTGTCTTCCTTCTCTCTCTGTCCCTCCCCCACTCACGCTCTGTCTCTCTCTTAAAAATAAATAAACATTAAAAAAAATTTTTTTTTAAATATTTATTTCGAGAGAGAGAGAAAGCTTGAGCAAGGGAGGGGCAGAGAGAGAGAGAGAGAGGGAGAGAGAGAATCTCAAGCAGGCTCCATGCTGTCAGCCCAAAGCCTGACATGGGGCTCGATCCCATGAACCATGACAACATGACCTGAGCCAAAATCAAGAATCTGACTCTAAACCCACTGAGCCATCCAGGCGCCCGCTGCTACTAGATTTCTATAAGTAAATATATTCATGTAGCTATGTATATCTGTGTTGAATCAAAAATTTGTACACATTTATCAGTGTGTTACCGTATAGTTCCAGTGAATATGGTTTCTTAAAATGTAAAAGAATTACCCTTATACTGACAGATAAAATAATTTGTGTTTTGTTCCAAATCATTTGATATATATTAATGATCCCAAACTTTTTCATTATATTTTTATGTGGCTTTTTGCCTCATTCAATATATCGGACCAGAAAATCTATGATTCTCAGTGTTTCTCATTGAACAAAAAGCAAAATCCATGCTTGTAAACTTCAGTAAGGCGTTAAACATTTTTGCATTGTAGACCAGAGCAGTAAGAATCAGAATGTTTTTCAGAATTCTGGAAATCCTAGTTTTTAGTCTTATATAATATTTTTTTAAATGTTTGGAAAGGTTTTTTCTTTTTCTTTTTTTTAAATTTTTTTTTCAACGTTTTTTATTTATTTTTGGGACAGAGAGAGACAGAGCATGAACGGGGGAGGGGCAGAGAGAGAGGGAGACACAGAATCGGAAACAGGCTCCAGGCTCTGAGCCATCAGCCCAGAGCCCGACTCGGGGCTTTAACCCACCGACCGCGAGATCGTGACCTGGCTGAAGTCAGACGCTTAACCGACTGCGCCACCCAGGCGCCCCGGGTTTTTCCTTTTTAAGGAGGTAGCCTCTATTTAATATAACATTTAATGAGATTCCTGTCTTGCATTTCATTTGTTCAAGTATTTTTGAGTGCTTCTTATAGACTAGCACCATGTTTTCTGTCCAAGTTATTGAAGGTTGGTGTATTTTTTTTTTTGATGCTAAAAAAGATTTTTGATACTATTTTAAAATTCTCATAATAATCCACTTTTATTTCTAGGTGTCTCAGACATAAGTTCAAAGAACTGGGCAAATCATGAGCATAAAACAGTCAATAAAATTACTGTGGTTGGAGGTGGAGAACTGGGAATTGCCTGCACATTAGCAATCTCAGCAAAGGTACGTAAGCACAGTGGTTATAAATCCATCTATCATATTGCTACACTTTTAAGCAGTGTGTGTTTAACATATAAGAAATAATGGCTTCATCTTGTCATGTGGGAAAACCTCACTTTGCCTTCAAATATATTTAGTAAGTTGGCAAAAAAAAAAAAAAAAAGCTGAAAGCTCTCATCAGGGATATTGCTTCTTAATTAGTACTTAGTCACAGAATAGGCTTTAAAAAAGTGACTTGAACAATCGGCTCATCATCCTATCCAAGGGAAACCTCAACGTGACATTTATCCCACTTAGTCACAAATTCCTTTGTGTTTTCTGAGTCATGCCACTTTAATTAAACTCTTATTTAATATAATACTTAATTTTAGCTTTTTCTAAAATTAACAGTTTTTTCTTGAAGATTGCCTTTTCTGGTGTAATAACTCCACTTTCTCTTAGGATCATAGTTTCTGAGTGGATATTTTACACTAGTTTGCAATTTGTTTATTTTTCCATCACTCCTTTTTACTAGATCTTTGATATATAAATTATTTGCAGAAAGGCTTACATTCCCTTCCAGAGAGGTTCAGAAGACGCTCCAGGGTCCCAGTATCGTGGTAACAGTGTGTCTGTCATTTCAAGATGTAGCCCACAGTAGAATAGCTGTCCCTCTCTGTTTATTTGGTAGCTGGAGTTTCATTTTTTCTTTTCTATTAAAATTTGATTGTTTGCCATCTAAATTCTTCCCTTCTTATTTCCGACTCACATATGTCTTGGAGATAGGTTCTACTTCGGCAAGTAATTAAAGTGTATCCAGGGAGCTAGAAAATTTTAAAAGCTGGCTGCACAGAATAACATATGCTAACTTTTGACTTCGTTTCATCTCCACCATCCATGTGAATACACTATTCCCTCTTAATTGGAATTTGAATTTGAATTGTTTTCAGTTCTTTTTGCTTCCACAAACATTGCCTTACAAGTTGCTTATTTTCTCCTCTGAATTTTCTTTTAGGTACACATAGTCTCAAAAACAGTACTAGTGAGTCAGGGCACGAATGGTCTTTGTGGGACTTAACTACATATTGCTAGATTGCGCTTCAGAAGGGCAGAACTAATTTATGCTGCTGATAACAGTGTGCACATCAACCTGATTTTTGACATTCCTAGCAGTACTGAGTTTTATCAATTTTATTTGGTTTTGGTAAGTACAAGAAGGTCCCTTAAAGTCATGTTCCTTCAGCTGTTAGAAGAGTCTATCAGTATTCCTTTGTCTGTAAGCTGTCTAAATGGAAGTTTTTTCCCATTTTTCTTTATAAACATTAATATTTGGATACAAGGTACAATATATAAAATATTATGATACAATAGTAGTCATAATAGTGTCGGTTGTGGTGGTAGCAGCGGTAACTAGCGTTTAACTGAATGCTTATTGAGTGCCAGGCACTCAGCTAGACACTTGACTTATTTTTACAACAGCCTTGTGGGTTAGATGTTATGGTTACTGCCAATTTACAAATGAAGGCAGAGGGAGATTATGCAGCTTGCCCAAAGTCACACTGTTAATAAATGGGGGCAGGATTTGAAGTGAAGCAGTCTTATTTATGGAGCCTGTATTCTAAATCTTTACTGTCAGCATGTGACTTTCAGACCAGCAGCATTGGCAGCATCTGAGATCTTCTTAGAATTACATTATCTCAGGCCCCAGCCCAGACCTATGGAAGTAAATCTGCATATAACAACCCCCCCCCACCCCATGTCCATGTGCTGCACTGATCTACTGAATGCTGATCCCTTAAGGCTTGGGAAGTTCTTCTCTAAACCATTATGTTATACTGCTGTTGTTTACCATTATTGCAATAATGCCATATAATGGTGCTGCTATAATAATATAACAATACCATTATTGCTGTTGTTGTTACTGATGGACATTTAAGTTGTGTCTTGTCTTTTGAAAACCTTATACGTGGGGTGTCTGGGTGGCTCAGTTGTTTAAGCGTCCAGCTTCAGCTTGGGTCATGATCTCACCATTCATGGGTTTGGGCCCCGTGTCAGGCTCTGGCTGACAGCTCAGAGCCTGGAGCCTGCTCAGATTCTGTGTCTTCTTCTCTCTCTGCCCCTCTTCTGCTTGCGCTCTGTCTCTCTTTCTCTCTCTCTCTCTCTCTCTCTCTCTCTCTCTCTCTCTCAAAAATAAATAAACATTAAAAAAAAAAAGAAAACCTTATACATAATGTATCCTTTTACACATGTACTAATAAACTTGTTGGATAATTTCTATAAATGAGATAGATGGATTAAACGAATTACTATGTTTTTAAATTCTGATAGAACTTGTCAAATTATCCTCCATATCAATTATACCAGTTTATTCTCATACCCACAGTGTGTGAGGATGCCTGTTTTCCCCACACTTTTGATGTTTAACTTTTGGATCTTTGCATGTCTCATAAATGAAGATGGTAACTCATAGTTTTGTTTCTTTTTTTTTTTTTACATTCGTCTTATGAGTGTGGCTGACAATAATAAAATTAGTAGGTACAGTTTAGAAAGGACTGCTCTCTGCCAGCTCTGTGTCACAAAATTAATCTTCATAACCCCATGAAGTAAGGCCAAGTTCAGTGACTTGCCCAGTGTGACAGAGCTAATGAGTCCTATTGCTTTTCTTTTGTCCTTTCTGCTTGATAGTCTGCTGGATCCCTGGGTACTCTTGCTTCTGCACTCTAATATAGGAAAGATCCTCAAACCGCTTACTACTTGAGAAAAAGACCTTTCACAAAGGTAACCTGATTCTGAGGAGTTTCTATGCCATCATTTACATGGTATCCAGGGAGCCATTGACAAGCATATGTAGTGTTTTCCTTTTCCTTCTTTCTTTTTTTTTTTTTAAATATTATTTTTGGGAAGGCGCAAGTGTGGGAGGCACAGAGAGAGAGGGACAGAGGATCCGAAGTGGGCTCTGAGCTGACAGCAGCAACCCCGATGTGAGGCTTGAATTCACGAACCACAAGATCATGACCTGAACTGAAATTGGATGCTCAACTGACTGAGCCACCCAGGTGCTCCTGGACTGTTTTCCACAAGATTTCTGAGGAGAGTTCTACATGATAATAGGATTTTATTTTAGATATATGGCTATTATCCTTTTTTTTTTTTTTAAGAGAAACTTGGCATTAGTATTGACTTTCATGCTAGAAATGAGGCGCTAAAATAGACCAAAAAATCACTCTTAAGTACTTTCAGAATGGAAATTGTGACATCAAAATGAAGACATAAACTCAAGAACGACAGCAAATAAATTGAGTGCACCAAGTCATCTTTATTACGCATTGTTCCATCAAAGGAAACCTGCCGTCTGTGACCTCTTAGTTAAGTCCTTCTAGATCCCAGTTTTTAGTCAAGCCTAAAGGATTACATTACTCAAGTTCATAGTAATTTCTTGCTTACAAGTCCCTTTTATTGCTGTCGTGTTATTTTTCCTTCATAAGAGAGCATTTTAGGCCCATGCATTCCCCTTTAGCTTCCTTCTAAATGAACTGAAATTGAGTAACTGGCTGTGTTTGTGTAATGCTGTATGTTCTTTTTGTTATTGTACTGTACAGGGCATTGCAGACAGACTGGTCCTCTTGGACCTCTCAGAAGAGACGAAAGGAGGAGTGATGGACCTTGACATCTTTAACCTGCCTAATGTGGAGATCAGCAAAGGTCTGGTTATTCTGCTTAATAGATCTTTGCCTCATTTGCTCTCATATTTGAGTCCTAGAATTGTTTTAGTATATATATTTTTTAGAACAGTTTTAAGTTCACAGCAACATTGAACAAAAAGTTTCCTGTATATCCCTTACCCCCACACATGGGAAGGCTCCCCTGTTATCAACGTCCCCCACCAGGATGGCACAATTGATAAGCCTACCTTGATACATCATTATCATCCCAAATCTGTAGTTTACATAAAGGTTCACTCTTGGTGTTGTGCTTTCTGTGGATATGGACAAATCTATAATGACATGTATTTACCATTATAGTATTTTTCACTACCCCCAAAATCCTCTGTGCCTTGAGTCTTAGAATTTTAATGCTAAAAAGCACATTAAGGGGCGCCTGGGTGGCTCAGTCAGTTGAGGGTCTGACTCCGGCTCAGGTCATGATCTTGTGGTCCATGAGTTCAAGCCCCACGTCGGGCTCTATGCTGACAGCTCAGAGCCTGGAGCCTGCTTCGGATTCTGTTGTCTCCCTCTCTCTCTGCCCCTCCCCTGCTCTTGTTCTGTCTCTCTCTATCAAAAATAAATAAACATTAAAAAGAAGTTTTAAAAAGCACATTAAGGTTCATCTAGTCGAAGCTCCTCATTTTACATATTGGGAAACTAAGATTCACATAAATGAAATGACTTACCCTAATTCATACAGAGATTGTAATTGATTAAATTAAAAAGAATTCAGATGAGCAAATAGCATTCTGATTGGTCAGAAGGATTTATTCTGTCTTTGTCTTATACTACAGTATAAATTTGTTTTCTTTGATTGCTTCCATTCTCATAATATATTGGTTAAGAGCACTGGATTTAGAGTTAGACAGATAGGAGTTTGCATCCTAGCTCTGCCACATTATAGTTCTGACATTTGTCAGGTTATATAACCTCTCAAAGTTCAGTTTTATCATCTGTAGAGTGAGAATAATACCTACCGCTTGGCATATGGCAAAGTGTTAAACCAACATTTTAAAAAAATTCACATCACTTTCACTAAAAATATATTGTTAAAATAAGTTTCAATAAGAACAAAAGGATTTTGTATCATTAATAAATAAATTTTTAAATGTTAGGAAAGTGTTTTATCTCATCTTTTTTATTTAAAAATTTATTTTAGGGG